CCTTGTCTTTGAAGAGAGTGTGACAAGCTTTTGGCTTTGCGGGCTCTGTGTGGGTCTTCACGGGACCACGCTCCAGTGGACGGGTGATTCTGAGCTCCGTGACACTTAAGAGGTGAAGTCGTCACCAGGTTCACTGATCCCTGGACTAGGGAGAAGGGGCCCGTCTGGGGCACTGATGGCTGGGTGGCCAGCAGGTCAGCTCCCTGGATAAAAGGTGCACCGGAAAGACAAGTCCAGCCTTGCCCCTCGCTGAAAACATTCACAAACTGTCTAGTCAGAACCAAGTGTCCCCATGCTTGTCGCATGGCTAGTGGTGCAGCGTTTCCACCCAGGCTGGGCCCTAGGTTCTAACCCAGCTCCGTCTGGTGTAACCTGCCATGTGGCATGTGCACTGCCCAGGCAGTAGCTGTGAGCCACATGTGGCTGTTGAGCACCTGGTATGTGGCCAAAGTAGCTGAGGGAGTGAACCTTTTATTTAAAGTTCAAGTTGCCACATGTGGCTGACATCCACCACGTTGGATTAAACCATTGTAACCGAACTTGCCTTGTTTTGTGAGTTAAAACGATAAGCTCTCTCAAGGAGCTGTGGAATTAACATAAAAAACATTGGGCCTCAAGTTTTCCTGAGACCTTTTCATTAATGGAAGCCTTGAGGAACATTAACATTCTGGGTGGGGACAAAGATGAGGACAAAGTTCCCCGAGTCTGTGTATTTGCCACGGGACTTGTGCAGACTTGTCCTTCCCACCATCTTCCAGTGAGGCCTTGAAGCTGGGCCGTGGGGGTCTTCAGGAGCAGTTGGAGCAGAGGCAAAGGTGTCAGAGGCCCCAGAAGGGTGGGTGCATACAAGTCTGAGCTCCGAGGGGCTTCTGACCCACAAGTCAGTGGATGGATCCAGGGCTTGGCGTTCCCACCACGGTCCTTTGGTTAACCAACCATCTTGCAGTAAAATGTGGGGAGAAAAATTACCTACACTCAAGAGCCCCCATGAAGCCCACCTCCTGTGTTCAGGCTGATGCTGGCTTGACCCTTCCCCACCATTGAAGAGTGGGCAGCCCTCAGCACTTCCGGACCCCCTGTTGCAAAGTCGGTGTGGCAGTGGGGCGGGCGGCAGAGAGGTCAGGGTCAGTTGGATCTATGGGCTGGTTCACAGGTGTGCAGTTGGGAATGTGACAGTCTACACGCCCATGGTCCCTGCCCCTCACCCCACTGGGCATTGCTTCCTTCTCCAGACTCACTGCCCACAGCTGCTGGAAACGGGCAGGAGGTGTCCTGGGTTGTGACAGGCTCCCCAGCTACTGTTAGCAGTGCGGGGCCAAGAGGCCAGCGCCACACCCTCCCGTGTGCCCCTGTGATAACGGGGGAGGGCTGTGTCCTGTCCTGGCTCTGGCCACGTGTCATCATAACCGTCACCACTGAGCACACCGCAGAGCCACCAGGACAGACTCGAAGGCTGGGCACTCAGCCTTGCTAAGTGCAGAGCTGGCCTTGACACGGCCTCACTGCCACGGTACCGTCCCGCTTTCCAGGTCCCCCAGCCGGCCCCCCCTTTCAGATGACAGATGCAGGAACCCCGGGCAGGGCGTGCTGGCCACACCGCCCAGACTGCCCTCCTGGCAACCCCCAGAAGTTGGTGCAGACAGACCTTGAGTCACGATCCAGGGAGAAGTGTGCGTGAGAAGGATGAGGCCCCGAGCCCTCTGCGCCCCAGGCTGCTGCTACAGTGAGACCCTGCGACAGGAGAGCAAGGCCACCCCAGGACCAGGCCGCGGACATGAAAAGATTAAACGGACGTGGTGCTTTAGGCGAGGGCGTCAAAGCGAGGAGGCCCTGGCACGGCGGGGACCCCAGGGGCCCAGGGGACAGCCGCTACTCATCCTGACTTGCTGAACACGCATCCCGTGCAGCGGGACCTCGGGAATTTTTTAAAGAAGCTGAAAAGTCTGGATTTTTGATGTGATTCCCAATTTTTAAAGTTGGCAGATGACATTCTCTTAACACTGGGCAGTCGAAATCAGGAAGGCCTGGGGATTGACCCGTGGGCCAGACCTGTGAGGGAGGACCTGGGACGCCACCCACACTCAGCGGGCAGAGCCCTGACGCATCACAACACACTGCATCTGCCACGGAAGTCGCTGGGACTCATGCCGGTGTCTGTGGACTGTCTGGGAATCTGAGTCCAAATCCACAAGATGCCTGGCGAGCCTGGCGTCAGAACACCAGCCTGGAGTCAAGCTCTGCGGATGGATCTGGTCGCAGCCACAGGCCGGCCTCGGCCTCGCTGACAGGGCCAGGCATGCCTTGTGACTGTCACTCGCCCGGCCGGGGTGCCTCTGCACAGGCGTGGACTTCCCCTGAACCAGGGATTGACCTGTCTCGGTGACTCACTCTCCCTCTCAGTAGTGACGCTCGCCCTGTTTGAGACACACAGGCTCACTTTTAACACGGATCCCAGATGGTGGCCACCTGCGTTGTCGAGCCGGGTCCGTTCGGCACCTCTGTGTCCTGATTTATTACAAATGGGAGACTGAGTCCTAGGTACCGGGCGCCTAGTTTGCGACAGATGCTTCACCTTCTACTGTAACCCTAAAACCTAGTTAAAATAGGTCTTGATGTGGAAATTGGGAGTGCCCGTCCCACAGCTAGAGCTGACTCAGAAGCTGGCGCTCCCCTGGTCCTTGGCATCTGGGGGTGCCGAGAGGCAGAGGGACAGCTGCAGGGGTGTCTTTGCGGGGCTGACATTCCGATCTGGAGAAATCTGCCGTCCTCCCCCAGCTGGTGTGACAGATTTGCCAGCAGGTGCGGGCAGGGGGGCTCTCGCCTGACCTGGTTGGGCTTCCAGGAATCTCTCTGCCTGCCGGTGGCTTGATAAAAGGCCACCTCGCGATCAGTGATTCAATGCCTCCACGACTTCAGCTCCACACACGCGTGTGCACGCACACACACGCACGCATCTTCCCAGCACTGCATTCTCCTCCATGCTGCAGTTGTCTCGGGTAGATAGGCCCGAGTTCGCCTGCGACCGGTCTACTTCTGGCATCTCTGGGCCTCGGAGTCTGCATCAGCAGGATGGGAGAGCAGTGCCCTCTTGGGGCGGCCGTGAGCATTACAACCAACGCCTGCCACATTTTAGTGAATGACATGAACTTCACAGGCCCTTATCTTCCTGTAACTCTCTTCTGCCCCCTGATTCTCTCACTTTCCCTTTCTCTTTGAAATTCATTTTATAGAATACATTTTAATCGAAAAGAAGAGTGGGATTGTAGATTTTATATTTTGCCAAATAAAACAATCCTTTAATTGTGCCCTGGGTTTTCCTTTAGCCCAGTGGTCCCCAACCTTTTTGGCATCAGGGACCAGTGCTCCCATGAGAATCTGATGCCTGATGATCTGAGGTGGAGCTGAGGCGGTGATGCTAGCGCTGGGGAGCGGCTGCAAATGCAGATGAAGCTTTGCTCGCTGGCCCGCCGCTCACCTGTGCAACCCAGGGACTGGGGACCCCTGCTTTAGCCCATAGTTACACCTGAACTCATCCCCAGGCAGACCCCATTTCACCCACAAGGGATCCTGCTCCTAAGCAGACTTCGCAGTATAGTATCATAGCTACTGTGCTGTAACCACGAAGGAATTTTAAGGATTAAACCTCTTCTTGGGGGGCTGTGGATAGAGATTTGGGAAGATTTCCTTCCCCCCTCCCAGTTCCCATAAACCTACCTGACCCCACCAGGGCCTGAGAAAGTGACAGAGCCTGACAGTGGTCAGCCAGGCTGGAAGGAATAGCCGAAGAGAGGAGAGGCGGGCAGGGCAGCGAGGGGAAGAGTGGACGCATGGCGGATGGACAGCAGCACGGTAGGGGTTGGACAGCTCACAGATGGCCTCAGGGGACCCCAAGTTAAAAGCGGACTCAGTCTCGAGGGCGGGGAGTTCCAGGTAAGTGTCTGGCATAATCAGAGCTGAGGTTACTAATTCTCACCCGTGCTAATTGAGCTTAGTCTGTGCCGGACACTGGCTGCTGGTGATGACCGGAAGGGACAGGCAAGACTTGGGGCAGGGAGTCCCAGCGGGAACCTTTGGCTCCTTCCAGGAAGACCAGGGTGGGGTAACAGGGAAACAAAGAAATCATTGCAGGGCAAAAAGGATAGGAGTGGAGGGTGGCACTGAGGGGCTGGAGGGGTCCGGGACAAGAGGAGGGGCTGCAGGGAGGTGGCTATGCCATCCACAGCCACCAAGGCCACCGAGGTGATGGAAAGAGGGCATCACCTTGAGACCTGTTGGGTTTGGGGGGCCCCTGGGACACCCAGCGGGAGGGCCATGGCTGCAGGTGAGGACGGAAGCCTCAGGACTGACATGAGAAGACGCCCAAGACGGGGGCCTGGGGGTGCCAGCTGGACGGGGTGTCCTGACAGGGTGCACAGGAGGTCGCCGGGGGACAGCTGCAGTACAGGTGCACACAGAGCGAGGGTCAGGGCTATAAAGAAGCAGGACAGGTAGGAGAGGGGGTAAAGCATCCAGTGGATGTTGGGTTTAGCCCCGGGCAGGGCAGGGGGCCCCGAGTGTGGGCCCGGATGTGAGTTGAGGAGCGGGTGGCGGGTGAGGATGTAGATGACGGGAAGTACAGGTGCCCCCAGGCTGGAGTGGCAGAGAGACATTTCCACAGAGATGCGGAAGCTCGAGCCGGTAGGAAGGAGCAGGGAAAGGCGGGAGCTGGCTAACGGGTAGTGGTTTTTAAGGGGCCAGAAGAGGATGAACCCTGAGAAAAGAGGGTTAGGCTACCACTCGGCCATCATTCATTCTCCCGGGGCTAACTGAGCACCTACTATGTGCAGCCGTTTTGAGGGCCAACCTGACCTTCCATGGGGACAGGAGGGCGGAGGGAAGGATGGGCGGGCACCACCTGAGTCCCTCCACACCCCCTGGGGCAGGGGCAAGGTGGGGAAACCCCAGTAGGACAAACGCAAGCAGGGCAAAGGTCCCTTAACCGACATTTATTTCGCAGAGGTTCACAAGCGTTTGTAGCGGAAGAGTTCGCTGCGGCACACTGGACACGAGTGCTTCACGTCCATCAAGCTGTCCACGCAGAAGGGGACGAGACAGCAGCCCAGGGCACACCTGCAGCCTCAGGAGCAGCAGGCCGTGGGCTGGGGCCGGGCTGGGGCGTGCTGGACTCGCCGGTGGCCCAGCCAAGCTGGGCACGCCCCATCCTCGGTCCCACCCTGCCCCCCACCCCCAGGCGCCGGCCCCCCACTCCCAGGTGCCGGCTCCCCACCCCTAGAAGGCCCTCCACCACCGGTGCTCAGGGCCCCCACGCACCCGAACATGAAGAGGCCGGTACACAGCAGCCAGGTGAGGATCCCGGGGGACGGGGTGGTCACCGTGATGATGTAGTTCCCGCAGTACGGACACGGTAACTGAACGGGTATGGCGGACACTATCGTAGGCATGCCGGTGAACACAGCTTGGGGGGCAAGGAGGGGGCAGGTCAGACTGCACGGCCCCCTCCGCTTCCTCCCCGATGTCTGCCACTGGGGGACCCTCCCACAGCCTGCCCCACTCTGCGGGTGCTCCGTGCTCCCCTGAGCAGCCCAGACCTTCCAGGTGGGCCCCCCGTGTACCCTTGCAGCCCCTTTCCCTTCCACCGCCAGCCGTCAGGGCTCAGGGGCCTTCCTCGGTCAGGACACCGTCTCCCGTGGTCAGGGCAGCCAGCAAATTTGGGAGGGTGTCTGCGTTTAAACTTGATTAAGCTTCAGTGAGATCCCCAGCACATCCTGCCCATGCATTTATCATTCCCTTTCGGGTTTTCGTTTGACTCAGCCAGAGCTGGTTCCTAACCCTGCAGCTACAACACTCTGACTGACACCCTTACTAAGCAGTTGCATTGAAAAAAAAAAACTGAGCAAGCAAAAACGAAATCACCACCACCATCAGGAAAACCCCAGAAGCCTTCCTGGTGGCGTTCTTCCTGTCCGTTCCTCCTGCATCGGTCCAGTGGGGCCCCCAACAAAGTCCGTCGAGCTCTCTCGAACGTCACAGCCACGTCTGCGGCCGCAGGCGTGCAGACGAGGGAGGCCTTTGGTGCTGGCTGAATTTCTCGTCAGGAAGCCCGATTCCAGTGAGCTCTGGTGTCAGGGCCTGGTCTGGATGGACTGACCCGTGGACTGACCACTACAGACTGTGGCTTCTTCTGGGGCGCAGGGCGAGGGGGTGCTGGGGTTTGGAGAGCTGATACAGAGGGGTGTGGGCTCCCCGTTTGGCAGAGAACTAAGGAAAGAACTACATATGGCTAGAAGTGGGGGGAGGGGGTCCGGGGGCTCTGATGGCCTTTCCGATGGTGAGGATGCCATCTTTATTCTACCCACCCGGGATTTACAGCCCACCTCGGCAGCCCTCAACCTTCCGTGTTCCCAAATACTTGGTCAGGTTTGTTTAAAAAATCACACAGCCCAGGCCCCAGCCCGAGGATTCTCTGTGGTTAGGGGTAGTGTGTTCATTTACAGAGTAGACAACAGGATTTCACCCCATAACCATTTCCTGAGCACCTACTGTGTACTGGCACCTCCGCCCCCAGCACCACTGATTTCACAGTGGAGAGAAGGGCCCGTGGCCAATATGACCACCGTGCACTGCAGGAAGCCCACAGTTGTGGGGCAGGGGGGGAGGGCTTCCCAGAGGAGGTGCCCTTTGTTTGGGCAGAGTCTCGGTGGGCGGTCCGGGCAAGGAGAGGAAGCAGGCGGGGTCACTCACCTTTTTGAACAAGTTGGGGGCCCGGGAAGTACGCCGGAGGAGGTGACTGCGGCGGGGACGGATTCGGTGGCCGCTCTTTGGGGAGAAAAAGGAAAAACGTCCTCAGCTCTGAAGACTCACCGAGCTGAGCACTTGGCCAGCCTGAGGGAGACTCCCATTTTACAGGAGGGAAAGCTGAGGCCCGGAGGAACGGCTGAGGTTCCCCGCGGGAAGATGAGCGTGTAGATGGAGGCGCGGGCGGCGAACCCGGGCCTTTCCGACTCCAGCCGGGAGGATGTAAGCTCTTCCTCGAGCCAGTGCCAGAAAGTCGAGGAGGCAGAGGTTGCCCAGAGCCCCATAACCATTTTTTTTTTTAAATCTTCAGCATTTATTTCCTGCCAGACTCTGCCCTCAACACTGTACATCCCTCACTTCGCTTACTCCTGCCAAAACACCAACCAAGGTAGCAAGGTGGCGTTATTCCAGTTTCGCAGATGTGCAGAGTCATCTCAGAGAGGTTCAGTAACTTGCCTGAGGTCCCCCGGTAAATGAGCATCAGAGTCAAGGACGGAATTTGATAGGCCTGCCTCCAGAGCACACGTTACTCAGGGTCGGCCCCTTGTCTCTGGTCATGATGGCTCCAAAAAGGGTCAACGGTTTATCTGCTCCTTCTGGGAAGGGCTGTTTGGACCCAGGGCCTGCCTCCGTTCTTCTCAAACTTGGCTCCTTCCCGACCCGAAAGGGGCTTCTCACGGTATGTGGACACCCAGCTCTGTCCCTCACCTCACAGTAGTCAGCCCTTGGCTGGCCCTTGGGAACCAGGAGGAGTTTCTGAATGACCCCTGGGTGCAGGCGGAAGGCTGTTTGGACAAGGAATTCTGGGATCCTGGGTCCCCAGAGTGTGGTCTGGGAGAGGGGCGGTTGGGAGCCCCGTAATTTTAATGACAGTGTGGGCAAAGGATGGGGGTCCCTGGTGTTTCATTGGGAACCACGAGGGTGCTTTGCATGGCAACCTGCTCCTCCAGAAAAAGAGCCTCATGGCTTGAGGGGTGCCTGGGTGCTCCCCTCCCAGAGCCTCCCCCCAGAGTCGGAGAAACCAGAAAACAGGAAGCCCCCCCTCCCCCGCCACTTCTCGCCACACAGTGTAGACTCCATGGGACAGGAAGAGGTTTCATGCTCGCCAGCTGCCCCCAGCAGCCCTGCCACAGGCTCGTTTTCGTACCCATTTTACAGGTGGAAGTCAGAAATTAAGTCCCTGGCCCAGGGCTGCCAACTAGAAAGTCATTCTGATCCCACACCGAGTTAGCAACTGCCCAGCCCTGCATCTACATCTCTTTTAATCCTCTCGACCATCTTTCAGATGAGAAAAAACAGATTCAAGAGATTCGGTGACTTTCCCAAGCTCACATCAGCGTGGCCAGGACCTCCAGCCCACCCTGCCCCATCAGTCTAGGTATCCTTGGCCACACGGCGGGTGGGTCAGGGGACGAGGGGCAGGTCATACCTGATATAGGGGAGTCATTAGCTTTGTCCTGCAATTCTCCTGTGGCACTTTAAAAGAAGGCACAGGATGTCAGAGGCCCCACTTTGTCCCCATTGGGTCAGGTGGTCCCCAGGTTGGTGGGGTACGACAGGACTTGGGGTGGGGATTGAGGACAGGAATCGGCCCCCAGCTCAGCCTGCTTTCCGAGGGTTCCCCTGCATCAGCCTGTCCAGCCCCCAGCTCAGCCAGGGGACACACGGTGTCCTGCTTTCCGAGGGTTCCCCTGCATCAGCCTGTCCTTGGCCTCTCCCACCCCGGGCACCTGAGTGGAGGGACCCTTACCCTGGGGACAATTCCATCTTGATTCCTCGGAGGTGCTTTGTTCCAGCAACGGTATCCGGGCAGCGTCGGGTTCCAAGCTCTGAGCGGATGGGCTCTTGTCCTTAGCTGTCTTCATCGTGGCCTGGTTGCCTATGGACAGGAATGCAGGCCTCCCCTGGTGCCCGTTGCTGGGCCCAGCTCAAGTGGAACAGCCATTGTGACATGTGTCCTCAGAAGGGCCAGAGGGGTGGGAGGGCCTCAGCTCGAGGGACCTCTGAAGACGGCCTTCCCCACTTGTGCACTGCCCCCCGCTGCGGGCGGAGTGGGAGCCGGCGCCATGGTTCGGGGCAGGGTGGGAGAATGGATCCCGCCCCTTACAGAATCTGATGAGAGCTAGTGATTCTGCTTTGAGGGACTTCCTGCTGTATGCAAGGTCTAGCGGTGAGGATACCCGTGTCCTCTTATTTAGAAATGTAGGCAGGTATATTCACACATGTACGTACGCACGTGTATATATGTACATACCCGTGTGTACACACGTATACGTTTGTTTCTGTGCAGGTACAGATGTGCAAACACAGATATGTGCATACACACATGTACACACGTACCACAGGTGTATACACACATTTCTGTGTGTGTGTTTGTGTCACAAGTCCAACAGCCTCTCCTGCTTGTATAGCTGTGTGAGTTTGGGCAAGATTTTCACTTTCTCTAATCCTCTATCCCCTGGCTTACTCATCTGTAACATGGAGATGATAGTTAACCCAGGTAATGGGTTTGGCCAAGTGCAGAGAATGATGCCAGCATTGTCATCGTGAAGTCCAGAAGAGATGTTCCCAATTGCAGAGGGTGGCCTCTGTGCCCGGGCTGGCTCGGTGCCTTCCTCGGGGTCAGAGCCAGGATTTGTGAGAACAAAGGCACATAGTGAGGTCTGTGCACTTGGCCACTGTACTATTTGGCTCCTCATGATGCCACACAACACTGGGGAACATTCGAGAGAGCCTGCTCGTCTATCAGGCTGGCAGAAACCAAAAGTTATGGCCAGTCTGGGGGAAAACGGGATTTAGTGATATCTAGCAGAGTTACAGATGTGGTACTTTTTCGAGAACTCCATCCCAAAGATAAACTAGCAACACCATATCAAATCACCTAGGCACAAGGCTATTCAATGCAGCAGCAAAAAGCTGGACATAACCCACACACGTCTATCCATCTAGCTACTCTGCAGCTACGGAAAATACAGGGAGGAAAGGAAGCAAGGAAGAGAGAGAGAAATGGGGTAGGGGGAAGGAGAGGAAGGAAGAAAAAGGAAAAAAATGATAAAAGGAAAATCTATATATTAATATGTTGTAGTCTCTCCAGGATATATTAAGAAAAACAGACAATAAGATCTATATCTATATCTATATCTATATCTATATCTAATCTATATCTATCTATCTATATATATCATTACTTTCCATCCAAGGAAACAGGGAGAGAGCTATATCATTTCCAAGAAGAAATAAAGGAAGGATTAATTTTAAAAAATAAAGTGGTCGACGTTGAGGAAGACAGGGATGAAAGCAGGCCCTCTCTAAATATACTTTGTTTTATGAGCTTGACTTTGGAACCATATCATTACATTTACTAATTAAAAAGGAAGTAGATAAAAAAGAAAAAAAAAAAAAAGCAACACTGAGAAACGGAAAGCAACCCAAATCAAACAAATGGGATTGCATATCAAGATCTCTTACACGGGACACAAAGCACAGCCATAAAAGAAAAACCTGAAACACAACTTCATCAAGGCCGCTCTTCAAAAGACACCGCAGATAAAACGAAAAGCAAGGCACAGGATGGAAGATTTGCCGTGTATATGTGTGACAAGGCGCAGGCATCCAGAATATAAGAGAACTCTTTCAACTCGACGATAGTTATTTTTTTAAAAAATTGCGATATTAAAAGTGGGAGAAAGACTCGAACAGACGCTTCATGAAAGAAAACATAGGAACGGCCAATACACACATGAAAATATGCTCAGCATCTCTAGCCATCTAGGAAATGCAAATTAAAAACCGTAGAGACCCGTAGTTAGGCTGTGAAAAACAATCTCAAGTGTTGACAAGCGTGTGGAACTCCACCTCGTATACTGCTGGTGTGAGTATAATAAAATGGTACATCACTTTGGACAACTGGCAGTTTCTTAAAAAGGCAAACTCACGCTCACCGGTGCCTAGCAATCCCACTCCCAGATTTTTACCCAGGAGAAATAAAAACATAGGTTCAAAAAAAGACCCGTATGAGAAAATTCATAATAGCCAAAATTTAGAAACAATCCAAATGTTTATCAGCGAGTGAGTGGATAAACAAATAGTGTATATTTATACCAAGGATTGCCGCATGGCAATCGAAGGCCTGAACTAAAGATGTATTTAGCGAGGTGAATACATCTTAGAAAATGGATTTCGAACAAAGGAAACCTGACCTAAAAGAGCACATGGCCTGTGGTTCTGTTTATTTGAAGTTCTGGCACAGGCCACGCTGTGACCTGTGGCGAACGCGAAGGTGCCTTCTGTGAGGGGGCAGAGTGTGCCCGGCATACCAAATGCCACTTACATCACGGGCGCTGTAGGTTTCTGCACGAGTCCAATTGTTTTTCAGCTGATGGGGGAAAAAATTTGTCTTGAGGAAGCCCTTTGCTAATTGTCACAAAGGCGTTGTCTTCCTGGAAAAAGGAAACGCCTGGCTCCAGGTGACCATCTTGCCCCCTCTGTGTCAGTCCCTTACCAACGCCCATGGCGTCCACGCCCCTGTTGTGTCGGTGTCTGAGAATTAGTGCTGACCGCATCCCCCAGCGCTCATCGTGGAGAAGGTGCTCAGTCTCTGTAGGTTGAATGCGCAATGGATGACCGAGCGAATGGATGAATGAACGAATAAACATATGCAGGAATGAATAATACTCCACTCATCACAGCCTGTCCCATTCGGCTTGAAATCCCCTGGATATGACTCCGCTGGACTTGTACGGACTTGAAGTTACACATCTTGGAAAGGGATTGGGGACTGTCTCCTATAGGGATTTTGAGGACGATGGTTCCCTTTACAAAGGGCTGGGATCCTGGCGGCGTTTCTGAATGGGGCGCAGGGAGGGCGAATGAATGAGAGCTGATGGGCAATGCGCTCGGGCGCCGACCATCCCGCTCATGGCCACCAGGGGGCAGCACCAGGCTGTGCGGGTCAGACTCGTCTCCTGCTTCTGGGCTCTGCGGGTCTGAGAGGTCCCCATTTTGAGAGGTTGCCCCTGCCACCCTCCCTTTAGAACTGGTCTGGTGTCCTCACCCTGCCCTGGGGCTGAGGACTTCTGTCCCACCCCATCTCTTTCAGGCCAGGCTGGAAGGAGTGAGGAATGGCAGAGAGGGCTTGAGGCCAGCCCAAGGCCACACAGCAGGGCTGTGGGGGACCGGCTTAGAGCCCAGTCTCCCTTCACCCAGACACAGGGCGCCCTTGGGGGAGCCATAAGACCTGGCTGGGCTCTTCCTGGGCCTCTTCTGGGAGGATAAGTTTTCTATGAGGTTCAAGGCTCCCGGAGGATTGTTTTGTTATTTGTTTTTAACCTTCCCACCCCCCAAATAAGGCCTGGCTTAGAGGAGGAAGAAAGTGGTGAAAGCGTGGGCTCTGTCACTCCTAGCTGTGTGACCCCAGGCAGCGTGGTCACCTCTCTGAGTCTCAGTTTCCTCCTCTGCAAAATAGATCTAATACAAAAATTCGGTGAGACTGTTTGACCTTGCTGGCTGATCCTCCACCCATGCCTACTTTCTGTCCGGCCCATCTTGCCCCCCAGGCCTTTGCACTTGCTGTTCCTGTGCTCAGAATGCTCTTTCCCAAGGTATCCCATGGTTGATTTCATTGTCAAACTCTCAGCTGACACGCCACTCCTCACAGAGAGCTGCTGTGGACCCCTTGGAGCCAGCCACACTCCACCACCCGGCCCGCTTCAATCTTCACAACAGTGACCTCTGGAATTAGCTGGTCGTGTATTAGTTTACTTGTCATTGTCTGTGCAAACATCAGCTCCGTGAGGGCAGGGTCCACATTGATTTTGTTCACAGCTCTCTCTCCAGTACCCAGCACAGTGCTTGACACACAGGAGATGCTCAATGAAGATTTGTTGCATGAATGACGAATAAAAGAAATCCATGTGGAATGCTTAACTCTGTGCCCGGGCATGTAGAAAGCTTGTGGCATGTTAGCAATCAATGACAGTAATCATGACAATAATGAATTAGATAAGCAGAGTCACAAAAGCCAGGGCAAGGGGCGGGAAGGAGCTTGCGGTTTTGGCAGCTGAGGGCCCGGGAAAGCCCCTATGGTCCCTTTCTGCTGTGTGACCCTGGGCACTTTACTCACCCTCTCTGGGCCATGCTTTCTTTTCGGGCAATAAGGAAGACTCTGAAGCCTGGGCTGCTTAAGGGAAAAAGGAGATGGGACCTTGTTTCTTTCCTGCTCTTCTTGTCTTCCCAGAAAGGCCCAGCTCCCAGGGAGGGGATGAGATGAGGAAGAAGGAACCCAGAAGAATGAGTTGTTTCTGCAAGATCGTGCTCCTGTCTGGGAAAGGGGCTGGGCTTTGCCCAGAGCCCGCCCTTCCCTCTCTCCCTGTCCATCAGAGAGGTCCTGTCTGCTCTGCAGGCACTGGGAGCCTGGAGCCTTGGGTGCAGATGTGCTGGGTCATACTGGGACGTCCCCTAACCTCTCTGGGCAGAATTTCCAGCTCTGCTGACCACGCTGTCTGCTTTCTCTTCCTTCCAGCTTGTGGTGAGCTGGGGGTGGGAGGTGTATGAGGCTTGTGGGCTGCTGTGGGTGCCCCTACCCTGAGCCCCTTTGCTCACTCAGAGAGAGGGAGTGGAGGACGAGTTCTCATTACCTGGGCACTCCAGATGGAGGGGTTGCCAGGGTTACGTCTTCCCTGGCTGCCGCCATCTAGCCCCTGCCCTCAGACCTTCAGACAGATTCCACCCCACCCTGCCCTGCCTGCCTGGGGGAGGAGGGGGGTCTATTCCTAGACTGAGAAAGCTCTTGGGGTTTGGGGTTTGGGGGGCATCCAGGAAGCTGTGTGATGGGAGACTGTGTGGTTACACGTTTCAATCTGTGTGT